CCCCAAAACCCCAAAACCCCAAAACCCCAAAACCCCAAAACCCCAAATAACATATTTCTGGCTGAAAAAATTATTTAAAGAAGATACTCTCAACTGTATTATTTAAAATAATTTCATTAAGATTATTCTTCATGGGAGATTCCAATAGAGTAATCAAATGTCTTCTCCGCCTTTGTCTCATGATAGAACCTTAGAATATCACCTTCTTGGATATCTGTGAAATCTGATAATGTGAGGCCACATTCGTCACCAGATTTGACCTCAGATACTTCTCTATTGTGGACTTTTAAAGATTCGATTTCTAGATCTTCATATAAGAGTTTCTCATTCCTATATAGGTTTACACTACAGTCTTTGTAAAGAGTTCCAGATTTTACAGAAAGACCAGCAATGTGGGTATTCTCCTTCTTTTTTTGCTTGATGAGGAAAGTCTGCAGAATTGTAGCATAGGACTTCTCTTCCTTTCCATTTGAGCCATCTCCTATCTCCATATCTTGAACAAGTTCTTTGATTTTATCAGTCATTTTGAAGATTAGCTTATATGTTTTAGCAATTACTCCAAGCGACTCAGCTTTAACTTCGACAAGTTCAGGAGACTCAACATCAAACGCAAAGATTATAGCATTTGCTTGAGATGCCATTGTGATATCTTCATCATTGATAGGTCCGACATCTGACTGGATTATACTGACCTTATCAGACATCATAATAACTTTGTTAACCTCTTTGAGACATGTCTCTAGAGCACCTGAAGAAGGAGCTTTCAAAATGATTGGCTGATGATCAAAGGTATCCCCTTTCAAGATTTCTGCAAAGACTTGTTTCTGCTCTTCACGATGTTTAATTTCCTCTTCTGTAAGTTCTTCTTGCTCAATGCCAGTGCCCTGTTTTTCCAGCATCCCTTCTAGCCTGGTTTTCCTGATTTCTCTTCTTCTAACTACAGAATAATTTATCTAGCTTACCCTTATAATGTCTTGTCCTGGTGTTGACTTTTTCATCTCTTTCTTCTCTTTTGAGTTGCCCTTCTATCTTCTTGACATCATCTTCATCAAGGAGGTCCAGCTGGGAGAGAATAGCCATCTGGTCACCACTATAGAGCTTCCTTTTCTCACTTCTGTCAATATTTAAGATTTTCTTATCTATAGTATGAATCCCTTTCTTCTGGTTCTCCTCTCTTTCCTTTCTTCTAATCCTGACAGAAGTGATAAATTTGGCTTCGTATGGATCATTGACTTTGTAGAGAGGGAATCCAGCATCTGGAAGTTCTTTGAAGCCACCAATTCGTCCTGACTGGCCTGGGAACAGCTTCCTTGTGCTCATATCCTTGATGTTTGGGATATCTGAAAATTCCTCTAAATTATTAGAACCCTAGTTGGTACCTTTATCTTCAAGGATATATCTAACTTTCCCTTCAGTGTATCCACAGATGAAGGAATCACCTACTTGGAGGACACCTTTCCTGTTAACCACCGATGCAGTGACGTTCTTAGTATCTTTGTCAATATTACTTTCAACAATTAGGCATTCAGCATTTCAGTCATGCTCTTCTTTTAAGTCTAGATTCTCAGCAAGCTCAATAATCTTATCTTCAAGATAAGGAAGTCCTGTTTTGTTTAGGGCACTAATCTGAGCACTTGGGATGTCACCCCCTATTTCATCAAGCTCAATGCCTTTATCTGCAAGATCAAGAATGAGATTATCTGGATCTGCAATCTCTCTATCAACTTTATTGATTGCAATTATGTATGGCAAATCAAACTTTTCACACAAATCAAATACCTCTATAAATATGATGTTAACAGGAAATATTAAGATATTACCTTTTGTTTGATTCTGGATTCCTTCAATAGCTGAAATAACGATGATAACTATATCTGTAGCTTTTGCTCCTCTTAGTCTCATTCCATCAAAAACTTCATGACCTGGAGTATCAATGAAGGTAATATAATGGCCCTTTTCGGTCTCAAAACTAAAAGCAGCAGTTGTTTGTGTAATCGCTCCAAACTCCTTATCCACAAGATTTGAGTTTCTGAAAGCATCAAGAAGAGTAGTCTTTCCATGGTCTACATGACCCATAATAGTCACAATTGGGGGTCTTTTATAGAAATCTTTCTTTGGTCGTTCTTGAAGATCCAGCACAACTTCATTTTCAAGACAAAGCAGCTCAATTACATCATTTCTAAGTGACTGGAACTCATCAATTATTGTGAAGCCAACTTCATTTGAAAACATTGCTGCTTGCTCCATTAATTCATTGAGTTCTATTCTTAGAACCTTTGAAAGTCCAAGAAGATTAATTCCTTCTGGGATATTAACTTTCTTTCCTTTCAGTCTTTGTCTTTCCTTCTCCATTTCCTCCATTTCTAAGAATTAGGTGATTAAAATTACTTTGTGAATTTTTGATTGCTTCCTCTTCAGCCTTGGTAATACCTGACTGAACCTTTCGCCTCTTCCATCCTCTTCTTGCTCTTTGAGGTTGAACTGAGCTATCCTTTTTATCCATGGAGTTTATTGGAGAGGTTGTATCTTCTGATGCATTAGCAGCTATACCCAAAAAGGAGCCAGCTATGACTCCTTCCTTCTCTTTTTGAGCATGCTTGGCATTCTTAGAGTTTTCTCTATTATTCCTTGGTTTGTTTTTCCTTCTACGATTTTCACTGCCCATCTGGTTGAATTCCATGCTAGAGATTATTAGGTGAAACCTTACCACATTTGTCTTGAGGGAAACTTTGAAAGCTTGGCTACACTCATGATACAGTTATTCTGGGAGAGATTCCTTCCAAGGATCCCAGCTCGATAGGGGTTGAAAATCCTTTGTGAGATATTACCTATAAAAGATGTAACAAGTAGTTATTATAATCAGAACTTTTTATCTGTCTGGAAATTATTGTAATTGAAAACTGGGTAATTTTCAAATAGTGCAGGACAGTGACACTAAGGCTTAGTTGTTATCCCAATTTAATCTAGTATCATTAATGCAAAGATGGCTCTTAAACCTTACTTTTATTGAAACAAGTGTATATTCTCTTTGTCGGGTTTAGTATCTTGCTTGCTAACATTTATTTATGGCTTCAATTATTTAATATAACTGAGGGGTTTTGGGGTTTTGGGGTTTTGGGGTTTTGGGG